GGTAACGGTATGAAATGTATACGACTTAGTGGACCGAAACATTTCTTACCAATTACAAATATTTCAGTATTCCCCTTCTCTTTCTTTCACTTCTTTCTGCCTCTCTTTTTCCTTTTCCTCATTTTCTACCTTAGCTTTAAATGCAAAACGTGGATGCTTAACTAGCTGTAGTTCATTATAAGCCTTGAACTTCCACCAATTCTTTCGTTGTTTCAGGTCAAAAGAATTTTCGCGTGGAGACGAATCGAGGTCTAGAAATGAAGCTAAAGTGGAAACGACTAGACTGCGCGAGCAGGATCGTTCTCGACGAAACAGTTCGAGGGAGCGCCCTCGTCGAAGCGGATCCAGGGATCGTTCTCGTCGAAGCAGATCCAGAGATCGTTCGCGCCGGAGTAGATCCAGAGGTCTTTCTCGCCGCAGCAGATCCAGGGATCGTTCTCGTCGAAGCAAATCCATAGATCGTCCTCGGCGGAGCAAGTCCAGGGATCGTTCTCGTCGAAGCCGATCCGGAGGCCGTTCTCGTCGAAGCAGGTCCGGAGAACGCAGTCGTCGAAGCAGATCCGGGGATCGTCACAGGCACTCGCGATTGTCGAGAAGAGAATCGTCTCGAGATCGACGCACTGATAAGGCGAAAGCGGCAGACGTTGCAAAAAGTTCCAGGAAAAGAGAACCCGAAATGAAAACAGAGAAGTGAGTTTTTTTGCATTTTTTGCCTTTCACAGAGGAAAATTTGACATGTGATTCTGTGTTTGTGTTGGATTTATGGCTAAGCAACTTACCGATTGCCCCGGTGCTCCGACTTGTCGAGTAGGGTCGTCGACTCCTTGGCGTTAGTTCGGGGTAATAGGGTCCGCGTGTCTCATGAGTCGTCTGGATCATCTCCACAACACCACACTGGATCGACACTGCTTTACAGTACTGACACAGCGACCTTATATAGGCCGCTTCGCGCCATTACATGACCCACCTAGGAGGGATTCATGGTGCAAAATAATTTGTAGCTAAATGGCTCTTTTGGGTTTCACTAAATATTAAAATTCGACTGTTTTTTTCTTTGTTGGCCT